TCGATCTTCTTTCTTCTATAATGAAACAATACTGCCCACAGTATATTTTATACGTAATCACATGCTGGTTACAATAGTTACTGAAACTCGCACACAAGTGTATTGCGTCATTTTGTTTTTGTTATGTCAATATGACACGTTTGCAGGCACTCTATCATAATTTGACGTGAGAAGGTGTGCAGAAACGGTCATATTCATTGAATTATGCTTGCGATTCATCAATGATGATGATGATAATGATGATGAGTTGTTGGCGAGTGTCTTTAAGCAACTTCCATGCCTTATTTTGTTCTTTTCGCGCATCACGGTACTCATTATTCCACCACAAGACTTGTCATTTGCTGACGGCTGACATGTTCAGGGAATACATTTCATTGCTGCATCAACCAAGAAAGCTGTAAAGTAGCACACAGCATCCTCTATGCCTAACGCCGCCATGTCAGTCCAAGTTAATACAGTCATTTTTTGAAACTTTTCTCAATCGGCTTTGTAGGTGAGCCATTTGGGAACCTGTGCAAGACATGTATTTGTTACTGATGTGCTGATAACAATAGGAAAATGGTCACTACCGTATGAATTATAACGACTTCCCATTTAAGTGAAGGCAGGAGTGATGGGGATGTTATGCTGAGGTATATTGTTGAGTACGTATTGTTAGCGAAGTTGTAGTATGTGTGCTCTCTCCGATTCAGGAGGCACGCACCGGAAGAAAAAAGGAACTCTTCAATCAGGTGACCTCGAGCATCGCAGCGAGAGTCACCCCATAGATTGCTATGTGCATTGAAATCTCCAAGAAGAATATAAGGTTCTGGAAGTTCCTCTATTAGGGACTCGAATTCATGCTTTTCAAGACGGTGTTGTGGAGGTATGTAGAGAGAGCAGATGGTGACGAGCTTATTCAAAAGAACTGCTCGAACAGCCACCGCCTCAAGGGATGTTTGTAGTGGTAGGTGTGTGCATGCGATCCCTTGATTGACTATAATGGCAACACCACCGGATGACACAATGGCATCATTGTGGTCTTTCCGAAAAATAACGTAGTCACGTAAAAAGTTGGTGTGTTTAGGTTTCAGGTGTGCTTCTTGTACGAAACACGCCATAGGTGTATGTTTGTGTAAAAGTTTCTGGATATCATCGAGGTTTCTCAGCAGTCCTCTGACGTTCCACTGTAGTATTTGTGTCATTTTATGTCGTGTGGTGCTGTGTGTACAAAAGTGTTGTGATTCGAGGTTTTTCTTTTTTTGGCACACTCCAAGGAGTTGCGCCTATCCTTCGGCGTCTAAGGCGCCGGAGGAGTGGGACTCGTATCCATCACCTCCTGTCAGGTGGTGCCTCAGGTGTGTGATGGTGCCTGCTCGGCAGGCACATTCACAGAACTTTCGGACCTAACTGCGCTTGCAGTGGTCCGAGGTTCAGCAGACACGGGGGTCAGCCGGCCCTTTTTGTCAGGTGGTGGAGCAGTACAGGCTGCTCCAACCGGGGGCGCTAGTAGTACGACCGCGGCCACACACTGTGTGACATGCGCGGCACCCCGGCGTGTCACACTTGCGAAGGAGGGATAATATGGGTTGTGTAGTGCGAAACGTTGGCGTGCTTTTTGGAATGAGAGATTGAATTTGACTTTAAGTTCTACTATTTGTTTCTCTTTTTTTCCATGTGGGGCATGATCGTGAGTAGGCAGCGTGATCTCCTTCACAGTTCGAACAATGAGTTGTTTCTGAGGTCCAGTTGACCGATATGTGTTAAATAGATGCAGACTTTGCACAAGTGGCACGCCCTCTGCAACTCTGCAATCCATGACCGAAACGTTGACACTTGAAACATCGACGAGGATTGGGATTGTATGGTCTTCCACGGAGCTTGCAATAGCCGGTTTCAATTGATGCTGGTAAGTCACTGGTCTTGAAGGTAATTATTACGTGTTTTGTAGGGGTCAGTTCATTGTTGCGCCTTATTGTTATTCGTTGGACTTTGACCACGTTCTGGTCCTGCCAACCTTCGAGCAGCTCACTTTCAGAAAGCTCAGTAAGATCATCATCGGAAATTACGCCACGTACAGTGTTCATGGATCTGTGTGGGCCCACTGAATTAGGGGTTTCCGCTAATGCTACAAGCTTAGACAGCTTCTCATACTGAGCTTTGTCACGAACCTCCAGAAGAAGATCGCCACTTCCCATCTTTGTCACTTTATAACCCGGGCCTATTCCTTCTGTGAGAGTTTTGGAAACGAGAAAAAGTGAAATGGCTCGAACTGTGTTCCTTCGTTTTGACTGTGGATGACATGGTACTTTGGGAATGTCGGCTTTGGTGTTTTAGGCCCCGCCGCGGTGGTCTAGTGGCTAAGGTACTCGGCTGCTGACCCGCAGGGCGCGGGTTCGTATCCCGGCTGCGGCGGCTGCATTTCCGATGGAGGCGGAAATGTTGTAGGCCCGTGTGCTCAGATTTGGGTGCACGTTAAAGAACCCCAGGTGGTCGAAATTTCCGGAGCCCTCCACTACGGCGTCTCTCATAATCATATAGTGGTTTTGGGACGTTAAACCCCAGATATCAATCAATCAATTGGTGTTTTAGGCAGGAAAGTGTCTTCGGCCACCTTTTCAGGGAGCGATCAGGAAGGGGGGGGGAACTTTTGCCATAAAAATACTATAAAGTTCGGCGGCGATGGTGGCCACCCACCACCGAGCTCAACATGAGAACGCTACAAGGTTGGAAAGAAACACTTGGAGGCGCCAGCCACGAAAAGTGAAAGATAAAGACGAAAATTAGGGGGAGAGAGATAGGAAGATGCAACTGCCGATTTCCCCTGGGTGGGTCAGCCCAGGGGTGCCGTCTATGTGAAGCCCGGGCCAAAAGGATGTGTTACCTCTTCCGGGGGCCTTGAAGGTCCAGTCACCTAGCGTCAGCTCAACCCGCAGGATCCCCTTTTCCCTGGACACGGCAAAGCCACGCACGGCTGGGCGTGGGAGAAAGTCGGAACCCCCCCCCCCCCCCCGTTATCTAGGGTCCGTGATGTCGCCACACACCCAACGCCTGCTTGCGCAGACGCCCCTGTGTTGTTGCGATTCATCAGCAAACAGACGTGCTCTTGGACACACTATTTTGCTAATGAAGCCCCTATGGAAGGCTGCTTCAACTAACAACACGTTATCTCGTACCTTGAAAGGGGTGCGGACGGAAGGTACTTTCTTTCTTTCACCAAAAACAAACAAAGGTTGCTGAAGTTCTCTATCATCTATTGTGAATGTCCATCCACATTATCTGGAATGAACTGGTTTTAAAGCTACAACGATGGCTTTTGGTGGTTTCCTCTTTGAAGTCAGACCTGAAAAACAGTATGCTTGACAAACTGCGCAGCTCGTGCATGAGTCTTCAGCGACGTTTGTACCTCGCGCATTTAGGTTAAAGCATAAATACTGAATACGCATCTGGATGTCGGAGAGGCCAGGCGTCGTCAGCAATGCACAGCAAGAAATGCGCATTATATATGTTGAAACTAGTATGCTCATGGAGACAAGAACATAAAAACACAGATAGTGCTTGTGTCGTCCTCTTGTTTTGTGTTGAATACCGCAGAAGGCGATGAGTGTTGCCTTCCTCTCTTCGTCTTTTCGCGCCTACTACTTTTTGAAATATTACTGCACCAACTCTCGCAGAAGCAGGCTCTGATTGCAATTATTGTATAGTAAATCCTACGTCCATAAAGCCCACGTGCTACGGCAACGAACTCCCCCAGGAGACGCTCCGCAGTACTCATATGAGTTGCTAAAAATATCTCACTGGCGAATTGTTATGAGAAAACTCAGCTGGTTGAGGAACAAGAACACACTGGCCATGTTCCACTTCAAAACAACATGCCCGTATTAAATATGTGAGGACGTTTCTTAACTCTATAGCCTTTCACTGCTCTAGAAATGGAGCCACAGGTGAGCGCTTCATGGGATAGCAAACGTGTACATTAAAATGCTCAATGTCTGAAGATATGGCCACTTTGCAGTACGTTCGTAACTGTGAGTGGCACGGCCAACTTCGCATTCAATAATTAACAAGGCGTGTTTGCATCACGTCTAAACAAACAAAGTGCATTTAGTCTAATGGCACTTGGTTCACTAGCTTTACGCATCGACACCAGAAGGCGATTCCAAACGGTGGTGTATACGCTTTTCCAATAGCCTAACGGTGTCATTAGTTTGCAGGAAACTTGCACAGCCTGTGAAAATAACCTTGTTGTTGGCACTCCAGTAAACACCTTGCTGGTTACATTTCTTGTATCAGTAGCAGGCGGTGTGGCCCTTGGTGTATTTAATAAGTGACCACGCAGGTGCGCCACGAATTTAAAACAAAAATACGCCAAGATGAACACTGAAAAGTCATCGTTGTGCGATAGCTATAGCTATAGAAGTGATTTCACATCCGCAGTTAAGTGTTCGAATCATGAGGCTTCGTGTCTGCGTGGAGAAGCGATGGAGCAACAGTGAAAAATGTGGAGATGACCTTATCCTTCACGCAAGTATTGGGCAAAACTGCTTTTTTGAGCTTCTTGAAATGGGAAGGCCGACTACATTTTTCATCACTGACAGCGTGCTGCACACCTTGGTGAGATATCTGTCTACGTAGTGCCGAGGTGCATTTTCCTCCAAAATAACAATAAAAGCCACCATTCATCGTAGCCAATGATGTATCTTTTGCGGCACTCGCCGTTTCAGAGGGGTGGGTGGGTGCGAAACTTTATTGGTGTTCGGCAAGACGCACGTTAGCGCGCAGTGGGTGACTCTCACGTTGGAATCGACAGCCTATTGGCCTCTCCACAGGCCTGCTGGACGGCCCAGAGTTTGTCAGAAAGGAGAGAGCTACAGAGGGCCGCTTCCCACCTGGCCGAAGTAGTATCGGGGTTAGTGTGCATTGCCTACACTCTCAGAACATGCGTGTTAGCCTTAAACATGCTTCTGAACCTATATTCCAGCGCACGCATAAGAGACGCAAGTTTCTGTACTCTGTTTCAGGGCCTGATCATGACTGCCCCCACAGTGGACACCGTGCTAGACAAGCTCTCCCGCTGCCATGTGGTCATCTTCGTGTTCGCGTTCATCCGGGGCTTGCCTGTCACGTGGAACCTGATGATGCCGGTCTTCGTGGCGCCGTCTGCAGTCGACTTCCGGTGCAATAATGACGCATTGAACCACACCGTGGATACATTCAGCGGCAGTGACCACCACGTGTGGACGAACAACACGGCGCAGTGCTTCAGGTCGGCTGCAACCAATGGCAGCGAACCATGCGAGTCATGGATCTACGACCGTAGTGTGTACGGCAAAACTGTCACAGAAGAGGTATCGTGCCTTACACACGTAGATTTAGTGAGGTAGCTTGCTTGAATAGTTTTTTCTCTCCTTTACTACTAACACCGCCGGAAATTTCGTAATGAAAAGCGGACTAAAACTCCGACTTCTAACACACCAATTTGCTGATAATAGTGCATTATATGTGCAATTATGAGAACAGCTGAAATCAGAACAGCTGCACTGGCAGAGAACCGGCGAAGTTAATCAAGAAAAAAACTGGCATGTAACACGGTGCACTGTCAGAAATACAGGATTCCTTTCTCTTGCAGAGTGTGTTACGATGACCAAACAGGCAGATGCCCGAACGAGCGGATTGTGTGAATATGCTAGTAATGTCAGCCGTAGTAGGAAGGGTTTTTTAGGGCTGCATATTAGTACGAGTGGGTGCACCCCGCTGTTTTAGCGTACCACAGTGGTCAAAAAGGTGAATGATGAGCAAGCGCGTATAGTAAGCGAGGCAGCTGAGATGGTTACGATGAGTAGCGGCTGAGTGAATAAACGTCAGTGACACTGACGGAGAACACAGTTTCTGACAGTGTCCAAATATGTAGAGCAGACCATTGCGACTGTCAATTTAATTGTTTTTGTTTATGTATTTTTTCTTAATATTCATTTGTTGTTTCACTGTAATCTGAACTACTTCAAATCACTTGAAAGTCAGCGCGTATTCGCTTTCTTTCATTGTGTGCGTTTTTTTTACTTTCCTAATTTTGTCTGTTTTAACCAATGTATTTTCTCACTAATTCATTGTCCGGCTGCTCCCTCGCATCTTTTTAGTCCGCATTCTTATAGACGGGGCTCACCTTGTTGTAAAGAAACAATAGGATTGTTTTATCGTTCATTGGGCGCTTTTCCACTTCGAAGTCGAATACCTACGTTGTCCTAGTTTTACTGTTGATTGATTGATTGATATGTGGGGTTTAACGTCCCAAAACCACTATATGATTATGAGAGACGCCGTAGTGGAGGGCTCCGGAAATTTAGACCACCTGGGGTTCTTTAACGTGCACCCAAATCTGAGCACACGGGCCTACAACATTTCCGCCTCCATCGGAAATGCAGCCGCCGCAGCCGGGATTCGAACCCGCGCCCTGCGGGTCAGCAGCCGAGTACCTTAGCCACTAGATCACCGCGGCGGGGCCTAGTTTTACTGTAGGGTTCTGTTATCAAGCGAACTCACATACTAATATTAAGAGAGCTAGCTTCTCTGAATTTGTGAAGATGGAATGCCCTTAAATCTCTGGGAGTGGAATTTCGTTTTTGCTAAATGCAGTTGAAAACTGTGTAATTGTTTTCTCAAATAAATTCTTCGTACTAGTCAATTTTAAAAAAACAATCTCTAATTTTTTGCTGTACTTTAAAACAACCAAAACATAAGATTTATTGTTATGTACACATGGTTTATTCCTAATAACACCTAACAAAATCCTATATTAGCACTTATACGGCTTTTTATGTAAACAATTTAGCATTGTAATAAAGATAACTCACATACATACAAAAATAAGGGTGTCAGAGTGATTTTCTGGCAAAAATGTTTTTGTTCGAACCCAAAACACTGGGGAATAGTCGCTTTTGATCCGATTCGGGTCGTTTCGCTGCGCACGCTTTAAAGATGTCGCTCCTTCATCATCATCCGAGTTTGAGCTCATAAGCAAATCTTTGTCTGACGAACTGAAATTCAAATATTTAGAATCTGTTTCGTAAATAGAAGAATACTCTACATTCGGGAAATTGCCGTTCGACAACTTAGCCCCAGAGCAACTGCCGCGCACGTCCTTGGCGTAAGCGAACTGCGCGAGCAAGCGCACGCAAGAAAACTGTGGGGCTGTACGCCCGCCGGTAAAGCAGAACCATTTAAAAGGATATAATGATGATCCTTCGTCTTATCGCCAACGCGACGGCGTTAGTTTTTCCAAGTCGCCAAAACGTGGAACGCGATCGTGGCGGCGTTGTGTATATGTGTAATTGAGCGCCGCGTGGAAACAGGTGTTATCGTGGCTTGGGGAGCAATAAACAAGCGAGTCACAAGCTGTCACCCTTTGGGAAATTAAAAACGAGGCAGCCATCAGCTTTGCAGTTGTCAGAAGCAATCAACACCGCAGGACGAAACTGAGACTATCCGCAACGCATGCGCGCGCTCGGGTGAAACCAAAAAAAAAAAAAACGGAGAAACATCGCGCATGAAAAAAATTCCATGTATTCTTGAAGGGCCGTAGCATGTCCGAAGCAATATAATTTATCTAAAAAGGCGCACGTTTTAAACCAGCCGCACCGCAAACGCGCTCGGATGCGCTTGCGAGAGCTTCCCCGCCACTTTGGGAAGCTAAAAAAGAAAAAAATTACAATGGAGAAAGATCCAGGCATGAAATAATTCCACGTATCTCCGAAGTGTGGTAGCACATGCCAAGCAAGAGAAATGATTGAAAAAAGGTGAGCATTTTCAACATACAGGCAATGCCGTACAATAAGGCAAAATTCTCGAAGGGTTGACGCTGACACATGACGTACGTAGAGGTTATTATAAAGTCTGTCGGTGCTGCTTTCATTACTCCCACTGCACGTTTTTTTTTTTTTGACACAACTTCCAAGAGCGCGTTCATGCCAATGCTGCTGCAGAAAAGTGAGTTGTAATTCTCATACACGCTCGATATCACGCATGAACTAAGCGCAACTCGCCTGTGTGGAGAAGGGCTCATAAAAAAGCATAGTCGTCTGTTCTAGCACAAAGTTAGCTGAATGAAATGCATGCTCACCGTGGATAGAAATCCTCGAACTGCAAAAACTTTTTGTCAGCTATGTATGATGAATGAAGAACCGGAATTGACGTTCTGGGATAGCTGACAATCAGCAAGTTTTTGTTTACATGCTCTATGGCGCTGCTACGTATGTATTTCGCTCCGATTTGGTGTGGTGCGCACTGTTAATAATAATACTGAGCTGATATCAGGTTATGTTCTCGTGCTTCCGCCATTGCAGTGCACCTTTTCATGCGCCTGGTTTATGCATCGGTATGACAGTTTCCTAAAGTGCTTGCGCACCCACGCACTGAAGCGCTAAAAGCAAGTCATACATAATATGTCCTTCGCGTTACTTGCAATGAACGCAGCATATTACGGATCTCCGAGTGACCTTACCCATGCGGCACGTGACTCCTCGTAGCAACTAAGAAAAAAATCACTTCTGTGTTTCATTAAACTAATTTACAATAGCTCTAAGTGTCTTCGAGCAGGGGCATTACATAAGTGGGGTCGATAAATATACACACATACACGAAGAGAAGAAACACAAAAAATAGCATAAATACACGTAATTCAGCTATTCATAAAACTGTACAAGTTCTAGCGCCTTGTCTCATTGTTTAAACTTGACATCCTGAAACTTAGGAATGCCCGGGAGGCACTACTTCAGGTCTTGAAATGTAGTGCGATAACTACACTATAAATGTAAATGAATCAAAGCACACGAAAAACAGCACACCATATTCGAAATACCTGCACTATGTTCTGCCAACAACAACAACAACAACAACAACAACAACAACAACAACAACAACAACAACAACAACAACAACAACAACAACAACAATAATAATAATAATAATAATAATAATAATAATAATAATAATAATAATAATAATAATAATAATACAGGATCAATATTATTATTATGATATTAACTATAATATCAATAATAATATTATTGTTTCATTCTCATTAATGCATTTGTTGACGGACAGGTAAAAGCTGCCTTCTGAAAGAGGCAGCTTGAACAGTGAGCTTTCAACACGACAGCAGTGGCTACAGTCAGCACTGCACCACAAACTCAAATAACGTTAAACAACACAAAACAAAGCCAAAACTGCGAAAGAAGTAAAATAACAACACTTATAGCATTATAGGAACTGCATGAAATGATCAAAAACTGAACATCCGTATTTCGCGCCATTGGGTCTGTGTAGAAAATATATGCCAGCTTTCACATATTTCTTAACTAACATATACACCATGTAGAATAACTTATTTTTGGAGTAGTTTGTTTTGGAAGTGTTTAATTTTCATGTTGGCTTTTTTCTTGTATGAAACAATATAGTTTGTGTCTTCACTTGCAATTAATGAAGATGCACATGGCAGTGCCCACTCCAGCGGACAGCTATACCATTCTCCAGAACCAATGCATTTAAAAAGCGTCGCATCTGCACTCACACAGTGGTACTCAGCGGAAGTCACCAACATTTGTTAGTACAGTGAGAGACCGACGAAGACGAAGGAGCACAGCAGGGACAGAGACGAGCGCTGCCTAGTCAACAAACCCATGCACTCCCACTTTCACAGTGGTACTCGGCAGAATTTACCAACATTTTTGGGTATAGTGCAATACCGAAGTTGGAAGAGGACAGCAGAAACCCAGACGAGCGCTGCCTTACCAACCATTCGGTGCAGTCACACTTGCACAGTGGCGGGATTCACCAACGTTTGTTAGTACAGCGCGAGACCGACGAAGACCGAAGAGCACAGCAGGGACATAGACGAGTGCTGCCTTACCAACAAACCCATGCACTCCCACTTGCACAGGGGTACTTGGCGGAATTTACCAACAATTTCGGGTACAGTGTGATACAGAATTTGGAAGAGTACACCAGGGACCTAGACGAGCGCTGCCTTACCAACTATTCCGTGCAGTAACACTTGCACAGTGGCGGGATTCACCAACGTTTGTTAGTACAGCGCGAGACCGACGAAGACCGAAGAGCACAGCAGGGACAAAGACGAGTGCTGCCTTACCAACAAACCCATGCACTCCCACTTGCACAGGGGTACTCGGCGGAATTTACCAACGTTTTTGGGTACAACGTGATACAGAAGTTGGAGGAGTACAGCAGGAACCCAGACGAGCGCTGCCTTACCAACCATTCCGTGCAGTCACACTTGCACAGTGGCGGAATTCACCAGCGTTTGTTAGTACAGCACGAGACCGACGAAGACGGAAGAGCACAGCAGAGACAGAGACGAGTGCTGCCTTACCAACAAACCCACGCGCTCCCACTTTCACAGAGGTACTCGGCGGAATTCTATTCCGTGCGGTCACATTTGCACAGTGGCGGGATTCACCAACGTTTGTTAGTACAGCGCGAGACCGACGAAGGCAAAGGAGCACAGCAGGGATAGAGAGGAGTGCTGCCTTACCAACAAACCCATGTACTCCCACTTGCACAGGGGTACTTGGCGGAATTTACCAACCATTTCGGGTACAGTGTGGTACAGAATTTGGAAGAGTACACCAGGGACCTAGACGAGCGCTGCCTTACCAACTATTCCGTGCAGTCACACTTGCACAGTGGCGGGATTCACCAACGTTTGTTAGTACAGCGCGAGACCGACGAAGACCGAAGAGCACAGCAGGGACATAGACGAGTGCTACCTTACCAACAAACCCATGCACTCCCACTTGCACAGGGGTACTTGGCGGAATTTACCAACGTTTTTGGGTACAGCGCGATACCCGTTCGAAGAGTACAGCAGGGACCCAGACGAGTGCTGCCTTACCAACTATCCCGTAGAGTCACACTCGCGTAGTGGAACTCGGCGGAATTCACCAACATTTGTTAGTATAGTGCGAGACCGACGAAGACGGAAGATCACAGCAGGGACAGAGACGAGCACTAACTCACTGAATAGCCCAACTTTCAATACTATTAAAATTTACCAACTCTCGTCTACACTGCCTGGATAGTGAATCTCAGCTCCTTACGTCAGGAATGTCGCGAGCTGAGCAGTCGTTTCTGCCCCGCCTCTGGCCTAGCGTGAAGTTCGCCGATGTTTCCTCTTTTCCGATTGAAATAACTAACTGCTTCACGTGTAAGAACTGCAGGTACAAATAAATTATGGCTGATAATCGTCTGTGTGACTGTCTCTGTTTATATGCACCCAGACAATAACATTTCAATGGGTTAGGCAGACTTGACAATCGCTCTTTGTCGGAAAAAAAGGTTGTGAGACGCTGGCAGAATCATTTCGCGGCATAGGCTTTGAAAGCATTATTTCGCTCCTCGTGTAAAACTGTCGTTAGATACAAGATATAGGAAACTTGGTTTTCATCTTTTTTAATTCCTTTACTTTGTAATTATTTTCCTCTATTGTCTTTCATTCCCCTTACCCTCTTACACTGTAAGGGCTCGCCTGGCGGTGGCTACAGTGGCGTAAATCCAGAAAAATCACAAGGGGTTACACAATCAGATATGTCAGCTAATTTATTTTTAAATACGTATTCTATTTTTATATACAAAAAAAGCAACTCATGCTTCGAAGAATAGCATTGTTCTCTTTATTCTTTTTTGAACCGGTCGAAAAGCTTTCGCAGTTTCTATTGTAACGCGCAGACTGAACACAGATACTGAACACAGATACAAACTAGAAATAAGTAGGCCTTTTAAGGTTTCATATGCTAGTTTTTTTCATATGTCAAGTAACTTTTTTATATCTTTCATATGTCAAATAACCTAAACGTATATCGTTCGAAGCTAAATTTAAAAAGGGGACACTTGCAAAGGCTGGGCCCATCCCCTCAACCTGAACAGTGTCCGAACCCTCCTGATGACCGCTATATTTACGCCAATGACTGGTGAACCTTTTTTTCTTTGGGCTTGTTTCATCCTTCTTCCCTCCTTAGTACATTCAGTAGTTGGACTGAAGCCTTGTAAAATAGAAACAAGGCAAACAGCGCCTGGTGAAAATTCGTGTTATATCTAAACTATGCGCACTTGTTTTGCAGTTTAACATGGTTTGCGGCAACAGGTGGATGGTATCCTCTTCCCAAAGCCTTTACCTCGCTGGCATGGTTGTCGGAACAGTGGCAGCATCTCATACTTCGGACTGGTGGGTTGAGCATACTTGAGGCCGTGCTCGGGCATGGGTACTTCCCGCTCTTACGTTGGCCTATCATGCTAAAAGCGCTGCAACTGAATTGAGCAAAGGCAACTTTGGTATAGAGAACGAAAGACCCCCAAAATGGCATAGGGTTTCGGATTTTATCAGACTCTATCCCGAAATTTTCTTCAAACAAGATTGTTATAAACGTTCGCTTCTGCATAATATGACGGAAATGACGGGACGAGTCTTTAGCGCACATTGATGTACTGCGTGCAGTGCTTAAAAGAAAAAGAAACAATACCCTAGGCTCAATTTCTATATTTGTCTTTGACATATGTAATGTACGTAGCCGGAACTTCTTGAACGCGAAGTATCTATCTATCTATCTATCTATCTATCTATCTATCTATCTATCTATCTATCTATCTATCTATCTATCTATCTATCTATCTATCTATCTATCTATCTATCTATCTATCTGTCTATCTAGCCGCCCACGTCTGCACGTTTCCGTGATCTTCATGACTGACAAATATCAAAATTGGCATATATTGCGACCACGATTAACAGGTCATGACATCCGTGAACGACGCGAAATGCCTGTCGTGTATGTTATGGAACCCTTACTCGTATGGCCCTTGCAGTACCGGTACACATGTAATCTACGCTGATTAGGAAATCAAAATGTAGAGAATTAAAAATTCGCAAATATTAACGTGGTGGCGCTAAATGCCCGAGTCGCAAAACATGTGGTGCCTGCGTAGAGAGCTATATTAGTGTGAGCAAAACACCAGATGGACTCAAAGAAGAGATATTGTTGTTTGCGCTGAAATCGAACCCAGGCATTCCGCGTGGCAGTGGAGTATTCTACCGCACGGCCACACCAGCACTTGAAACTTTGCCGGTAAAGATGCCCTTTACAGACGTCGTCTCTGCGCAAAGCAGTCATGGTTGGTGTGCTTATTACCCGTTTTATTAGCAATGTAATGGACATTACTTCTATGCAGTCTCATGACTCGGCAAGCCGTTGCGCGATTCGGGAGGTACATACCGACAACCGCTGCTTAGCCATTACATTTTAAAAATATTTTAAGTCGGAGATTACAGTGTGCAGCAATATCTGACAGCAGTCATTTTTTTTCTTTTGCAAAATATTCGCTTGTTTTCTTCGGGGCGCTTTAACCACATGACACATCTGCGCAGGTTCGGCCGCAAGAAGACCATACTGGGGGGAATTCTACTCTCGGTGGCCGCAAGTGCCATGACTGCCTTGTCAACCTCAGTCACGATGTACTACGTATCCCGATTCGTCGTGGCCCTGGGTGTCGCGGGATACGCAGACGTCATTTACACCTTAAGTGAGAAAATTATTACTCTTTATTTATTTTCATTCAAGCAATATTAAGAAGGCCTCAGCCCATTAACAGGTTCACTAAATCCGAAAACACGATAGCCATTGGAAAACATACTATGAAGAATCACTCGGTCATAACGAAAACACCAACCCGCTGCCAGAAAAAAAAAGTCGAATACTTACTTGAGCTCTTGTAACCACTAACGAGCGTGTCCGCATCATAAGCGAGTGCTGCCGGGCGTGGCACTTGTACGAAGTGAACGCCAGCGAGTGGCTGAGTTATCCGTACATAGTACCGCTGTTTTATGTCAAACTGGGTGCTTTATCGCTCTGAGAAGTGTTTACATAAGAACAATGGCACGCGCTTCATGCAAAGTAAGCAGTGCTCCCCGCGTCAACTTGGCACTCGTGAAGTTTAGTTGCCTGTTGAAAAGGCTGATAGACGTTTGTCTGTTCTGATGTTCTTGCTTATGATATGCCTGGAATGCGTTTCTTTGTCGTTTGCCAACTAAGTTATGGAGACGGTGTCACCGCGGTTCCGCTACATGCCAACAATGACTATGGGCAACGGCTGGACGACTGGAATGCTTCTTCTGCCGTGGCTCCACTATTTGACTAAGGAGTGGCGCGCCACCCAACTGTATGCGACGCTGCCACTTGCGCCACTGTTTCTGCTTGGCTGGTAGGTACGCACTCCAGATGTACTAGTTACAGATTTTAGCTCGTCCTTTGATGTTCCTCCGCTTCTCAATAGATTTTGTTCGGGTCGCTTAGCTGAATATTCTTAGTTTAGCACATGTTTAGCACTTTAGCGCTACCAGAGGGCGACACCCGCCGACATGAATGAAGGAATACTTTAAACAGAGGCCGTTATGTCTCATTTTGTGAAGCCGAAAGTAGGGAAGCGTAGAGGACTCCTCACGATGGTGGTCACGCTTCGGGGGTTCGCGCATGCGCAACGGCCGCCAGAGAGGGAGGCGAGCCGCGCGAGTCGATTTCGAACGCGCCGAGTGGCACCGCCGCCGCCATCTGATAGACCAGCTGCAAAAGCGAAACGTTTGCGCAGATTATGAGCAAACGTGTCGCGATACTCGCTTTTGGAGTCCCTGTGTGCAATTCGCAGTCTCATGGCGGCTGATATTGTGAATTAACAATAAACATGCAGCTTTGCGCTTCGCGTTTTTTCCACAAAACAGCAGCGGCCCGAATCGGCCTCCACAACAGGCTCTTTTTCTTCAACATAGAGGGTTAGTTCGTGGTACGAAACTCAATGTAACAGTGAAATGTTACTTCTGTGGCTATTTAGCCAGATGAGGCCCCTCCTAATCATTTTTTTAAATATGTGTGTCACGAAACACCCGCACCAGTATCGTTCGCAGCAGTGCGGTCGGGCGACGGCGATCATATCGAAAAAAACTTGGACAAGGATGAGGTCTTTGTCTACTTTTGCGCTGTTTTTACATCCAAGCATGCACCACCGAGTAGCACAACTTTCACTTCTAGAGCAAAGATGGGGTCACAATAAATCAATAAATCATCTTACTGTGTTTAGGAACGTCTATTTCTTGACTCGGGAAGCTCCGGTGAGAACAGTGGGTGAAGTAGTGCTTTCCCATAGTTGTGACCGTCATACACAAGAACAGCTCACTGCCGCCACTCGCATTAAGAGCCGTAGACGCTGCCGTTCTCGTCTTGAAAATCTGGGCTTCCTTCACTCAGGCACACAACAACACAGTGCCGAAGGAAAACAGCGAAGCTGCGGTGCCAAACATTTTCGGAGCTTGCGATCGAGAGCTTCGAGAACGACCGCGTTCAACCTCAAGCGATTTAAACTGAACTCACAACTGTGAAGACCAACGCTCACTGTAGGTTTCTAACACATCGCATCGTCTTTGAAGTGCAGAAGCTGCATAAGAATGCACATTCAGAAATCCAGCCGGCTATCAACAACGCGGTCATACGAGTTGCGATGCAGACGACGTGAGACGCCGGCGTGCCCACCTTGTCCCATAACCCCCTGCAAAAGCACATGACTTCTTCCACGCTTTTCGCTCTGCAGCTCGCATTGCGAGGACCTATCCTTAGCTTTCCTTCCTCCATGCCCGCCGACCAGGACTGATTGATTGATATGTGGGTTTTAACGCCAGAAATCCACCATATGATTACAAAAGCCACCTTAGTGGAGAGCTCCGGAAATTTCGACCTCCTGGGGTTCTTTATCGTGCACTGAAATCTGAGCACTCAGGCTTACATCATTTTCGCCTCCATCAGAAATGCAGCTGTCGCAGCCGGTATTCCATGCCCCGACCTGCTGAGTGGCTGAGTACCTTAGCCACTAGACCATCACGGTGGGGCGCCGTTCACCCGGAGGAAAGTTTTTAGAATTAACCATTCGTGTCGCCTTGTTAGTGCAAGCGCCATCTTTTCTTTCCTCGGTCGCGTTATTATTTTTTTTTGCTTCCACAATGACACCGGCGAGGAGGAGGCGCTGCACCTAACGTTACGAGAATAAACTCGTTGGCTGCACCAACTTACCGTCCCCGGTACGCCGGGAGAGGGTATGCCTATGTCTGTAGTTCCTTGCTGAATGTTGTAGGGGTGCTGCTGCAGCCGATGAGAGAGAAGGCAGAGGAGAATAAGTGCAGTTAGCACTACTTTAGTTTCATTGGGAATTTGTCTCTGTGAGAGGAAAATGTTAGATATAAGAGACCGTTTGTAAGGCCTCCAGAGAGTGTCAACGTGGTGCAGTAGCTTGGGAATGTACTAGCTTTTGTTTGGATGTGACATGGTGCCTCCAAAGAGTGTCAACGTAGTGCAGTAGCTTATGATGTACTTGCTTTTGTGTGGATGTGACATGGTGCAATGAAGAAAAAAAGTGACCAGTGGCGCATTGGACAGCGTGTCCGACATTCGCTGTCGCGGACCTAGGGACCGTGGTTTCGGCTCCTCTTGACACGTTTTTTTCTTGGCAATCTGAATTGTGTGCTTTTTTGACGTCATTTCCGTGACGTAAAGAAATACGCCACTTAGGTATTAGTGGAGCCCTGAATAAAAAACTTTCGTGATAATATGTTTAATTACTAAGCGGTCACTAGAGGGTATTCACCTCAATGTAGAAAAGTACAGTAGATGAGTGGCGATCATCGAGACCAGCGTTTAACCGCGCAGCCCAGTTTTTTGCCAGAGTCTCCCAGGTGGCTGATGGCTGTCGGCCGATTCCCAGCAGCCAAGCAAGTGGTCGCAAAGTTCGCCAGGAACGCCCCGAAGCACGTCGTTGACGACATCATTGAAGAGGCCAAGCGCAAGAAAGCAGAGGTCAGTCTTTGCTCTTGCGCGTAAGATAACCACTTTCTTTTCCCATCGATGCCACTGCCCGTGTGATCTGGAGTGCTCGCTAGCCATTCCCATTTCCAGGCCGTACCAGCATTGTTGAGTGGTTGTGACCTATTCACTGTGGCCGCACCCGCACCGTGCACCCTGTTGACAAAGTGAGGGCCCATTTCCGTCAAACTCCCTTCATCTTTACTCTTCTGGACATCTGTAGTCGTAGAGGTTGCTTCATTCTCAAAGACAGGTAGCTGCATTGCATTAATGGGCAGATATCTAAAGGCACGCTCCTTAAGTGGACCAACAGGAATCAGTCATGGATTTATCGTACCTAGCTCACTGAAACTGTACCTGTGTACTTTTTATGCACTATAGATGGCTTTCAAGCACAGGCATTAATGACATTCCAATTCCTTACATTATTCTATAGTTCATTAGTTGACAGTGGCTATCGTCTTAGAGAACACTGTGATATTATTAGATACTAAGAATGCATGCCACAACATACTCGTATACGCTTGCCATCGTTATCCTGTAGCTTAGCCTGCGCTGAGTGCCTGTTGATCAAAGCATATGCTGAAGGATGTATGCAGCGCTTATCGGGTGGAAAATGTACAAGTGAAAAGATCCTATTATAATTGTTCCTCAGCTGCAAAGGACTTCAATTTTGCTTTACGACCAACTTACTGACTCGTAGGAAGATTAAGCTTCTCGTGAACTCCTGTTTTGTTGAACTACGGAGCAGAATTAAATAGGATCTCAGAGTGGCCGAGTAGGTTAAAATGCGTGGCACTTGAACATCAGCGCAAAATTTACGACTAAAATAAATGGAAGCGAGATACAGCGCTGTGGGTTCCTATGATTCAAATGTGAAAGGTTTCCGCGACTTCTTAAGTACTGGTATATCAAAGCCGTATGTAGTGTCACAACGTGGTAACGTAAACAAAACGATTGATTGATTGAATAAATAATATGTGGGGGTTTAAACGTTCCAAAATCATCATATGGTTATGAGATACGCCGTAGTGGAGGGCTCCGGAAACTTCAACCACTTGGGGTTCTTCAACGTGCACCCAAATCTGAGCACACGGGCCTACAACATTTCCGCCTCCATCGGAAATGCAGCCGCTGCGGCCGGGATTCGATCCCGTGACCTGCGGGTCAGCAGCCGAGTACCTTAGCCACTATACCATCGCGGCCTTTTTATTACTTCTTTTTCTTTACAGCTGTTCACACAGAAAAATGAATGATAAAATACACTTGGACCAGTATTTGATCCGAAGTGCTCACATTAAATTTTTTTCAGGTTGCACAATTCCTCTAACAATGTTAACCAGCTGGGAGGTTCTTCTTGTTGTTTATACGCCTCAGTGATGTACCGCATATTCGCAATGAAGCTCTCCCGGACAGGACGTATGTTTTGGTCAAGAGGTCTGTAAGCCATTGTGGTCTGCCAGATGCTGTGAAGGCTAATTAACATAACCATGTCGTATGGTATGCCGTCCTCATCATCCACACAGAGAAAACGCATGCCACGGCTTGTAATGAGGAGATATTTTTTTGATGTTCTTTGAAGGATGTCCCGATGAAAGACAGCGTCCCAGCAGTGAATAAACATATGGTCTATTGTCTCAGGTGTTTTACAAAGTAAACAATTGCTTGTCCATGGTGCATTGATTACCTTGTCCGCTAGCCACTGCTTAACGGGGAGTGTCCCGGAATGCAATTTAAAAAAGAAAGTTTTTTGCCCCTGCTTTTACTTTCATCCTTTTGACCCTTTTGACACATCCTGTCCGGGTCCTCCATTGAACATAAATCGGTACAAAGGTGTTGGGATAAAGACATCACGGAGATCCCTGTACAGATTTTTTCGCTTAAAAGTGGCAAGATATTCCAGCGAGAAACGCACTTTCAAACAAGACCACCGCGGCGGGGCACGAACAAAGCGAGCAGACTATACATCCCCGATAAAACTGCCTATTTAGCTGAATTTGAGGCCCTTAAACTGAACGTCAGATTACAGCGATATAGCGGTGAACGGAGCGTCGGCCGTCGATCAACTGACAAGGTGAAGCGCGTCGGCATTTGCAAGTGTGCCGTCGAATATTCCCGTTTAATCCCGTGGTCGTCGCGCAAGCTCTACAATAAGCTAGAGTGTTCTCATCATGCGTGCAATCTTAACAGAACGCTCCACAATGATCTCTACAATAATCGCGAACCTTCTCCAACAATGAGGGGCAGTTGGCGCGAAGCCTTCTGACAGGCTTTGTAAGCGAAAACCGAATGAAGCAAAAGTGAAAATAAGAAATGCCCGCGGCAATAGAATACGAGCACCAACACACAGGACTCAAGAAGCGAAAGACGTCTCTAATTTGCGTGATTCAAGCGAAGCTGGTTAATAAAAAAAAAACAAACTGAGTTGACAAAACTATCTTAGACTGATCGAACTTTTTCTTCTGAATTTCTTATGTGCCCTACTTCTGCGAGACATGGGAGAAAACTCATTTAAATTTGTAGTGTTCTCGTTCACCAATTTATCGAGGCCGGCTCCTGGTGGCGCCATGATTGTTCGGACGCCTGTGCAATGCTTTCACCCAAGCTCACCCTAACAAATGGATTTGCTTTGGAAGTGCGTTTTCAGGTTATATCTGCCCAGATGAGCTCATCATCTCTGGCATTGAAACTTTGTTAGCACTAATTAACGAGCCGTTATGCTGATCATGAAAAATAACAAAAGCTGCTGGGGTTTGCCGCACCAATACCTCGATAAGATTATGTGTTAAGCGGAGGGCGGAACTCTGGATTAACTTGACTAGCTGGGTGTTTTTGATTTGCAAATAAATGTAGGTTCACGGGTGTTCCGTGCATTTCGCCTCTATCAAAATGCTGCCGTCTTGGGGTGGGATCGAACCTACGCAATCGGGGTCAGCGTCGTGACAGCTTACGGGTTCAGCTGTCAAGCCAGGTTAGTTTTCAGCTTATTCGATGTACTGACTTTGCTTTTGTTTCGTAAACAAAGTTTTAGGTTCTTTGTTTACAATGTACAGAAATTTTTCGTACATGCCTAACCAAATCATTGCAATAAAGCCAAGTTAAAAACGGCTAAGGAGCTTTCGACAAGCTAGCTATATAGAGCGCTTCGCAACAGATGCGAGCTCTATATTCTTGTACTAAAATAACAGCGCAAACACTGAACACGCCCCACAAAGGAAAGCAACGATATGACCGAACGCCATATTCCTGTGTCTGTGTGTTCTTGTTGCTTTCGTGCTGCCCTGCTTATACTCATGTGTTTTCCATCAGTAACATGACGCACTGTGCCCAGGGAGTCACCTCCACTCCGAAATGCTTCTTTTCAGGCGCGGGACATTGGCAGAGCAAGCGTCGCTGACTTGTTCTCAACGAAGGTGTGGACCAAAATAACGACACTCTTCAGCTTCCAGTTGTAAGTCTATCGCTGACAGACGTTGCGTATTGAACCCTGGTGTTGTTGTATCTCATCCGACTACACCTGCGTTTTGTGCAGGTACACAGTCTTAACAGCGCGTAGGCCTAGCATGTGTGTTTGATTACAATGGTAGCTCCTTGAAACGCCAAGCTAACCTGATTATTAGTTCGCTTGCATGACTGTCAGGTTCCCATTACATTCTTCTGATGGTGGTATTTAAACAGCTGTTGATATAACATTAAATTACACGTGTGAAGGTTTAGTCAGCATAACTTGTAAGTCATGTTTATTATTGTAGATAAATGTGACAATTGGCAGAAACTGTGCCTATCAAACGAAGCAAAATGTCGGAGTTTTGAGAACACACAGAGACGCTATGTCCCAAGCTAGAGCACCAGTCTAATAAGAAGCAGAAGTACGTACAAAACGCAGGTTTCGAACGATAGACAGAAGTTGAACACTCAGTGTCCCAGAAGAAAGTATTTTGGGAAGATCGACAAGTCCTTCCCAACGCTATATATTTTATGTGAAGATTCAAAACAAAATAGCGGATTGCGCCGAAGTGAAGGAAGTTGAATAAGTATGAAGGAGCCACCACAGTAACAGGAATATTTCTTCAAAAAAAAAAACTACTTAATGATACTCTAATTGCGTCCCACTAATACCGACTGATCTATTTCACTTAGACAATGCAATAGTTTTGCTGCCGTTAAGCTGAGAACTAAGACTCTAAAGACCATTGGTAAAGGAGATACCTAAGTACGACAAACTTCTCTACAGCGAAATAAAGATAACGCATGAAGCGGCTGATCAGGGGCTTTTTTCAAATCAAAATTTGATGTGCCTGGTCATATGCGCCTCCACCCATGCTTGACTTTTAGTGGGGTTCAGCTTAATAGACCCCTGACAGCTCACTTTCGTACGCGAGTTTTATTGTGTAATTTGTAGCCTTGTGTCTGGTAATGCCCGAATTCAATTTGAAGTGCTCACGTATCGTATGATTAATCCTAGCCTTGATAGTTGTTATGAAACTTAGGCACCCACTTAATAGCAGAGCAAACTAGCGCACCAAGTCGTGTGTGCTAAAGCTTTGGTGGCGTTGATAGCGCAGTTTTAAATTGGAGGCCCCGCTTGCGGTAGAATATGCAAGTTGATACTATGATTGTGGCCGATTGGCTACATTTTAGTCCACTATGTGGCGGTGCCTCAGCTTATGCTACACAACATGAAAACACCATATCACCGAGGTCAACGTTTACCAATGCATGTCTAGCACTGCCTTGGTCGACCAACTCAGGTCTTTGAATTCGCCGGGAGCCCCAGCCTTTCGTCCCTGTCGCAGGCGAGGCCCTCGATCGGGCTTTTAGGATCTGCCCGTAGTTTAATATAAGTTCGTCTGACTGACTGTCTGATAGCTATAGGTCAAGCCTTAAAGAGCGTGTCCTCTAAAAAAAGCGTTCGCTGGCGCAAGCAGCCAGAACGACCTTGTGAGCAGCCCGACAACAACGCGACATTGTGAGGTACAGTTGTGCTTTTGCATGCGCCCCGCAAATGTTCTCTGACGTCGACAATACTCGCTTCTCTTGTGGAACGTCACGATTCTTCTTTGCTTGTGGTCGCGGAGAGCCTCGCGGAGAGCCTCGCGGAGAGCCTCGGAGTCGGGAGAGCCTCGCACGGAGCAGACGTGTTTTTCCTCGTCCTCAGTAATTTGATTTTGGCAGTTCTTTTTCACTCCCGTGTGCGTATTTCTTTCTCGTCTAAACCTTGAATAGCACTTTCGAGTGCAGCCCTTTTTAGGGCTCCAAGGTTTAGCATGTGATTTCTCAATCCCCCTTTTTTTATTATTGTTTACTTTATTTTTATGGCACCACCCTGGACGGTCCCTCAATCCCATCGCTACTGGCAGACGGCCTGACTGAGGGCTTCCCGTCAGGTTATGCCTTCGACTTGGCAGAAAGAGCCAAGGCCTGCGACCTACTGCTCAAAAACGCGGCACAGGTCTTGCACACAGGAACGGCCGGCGGACCAAGCCCGCCGCGTCCCTCACCTACCTCCAGCGCGCGCACTAGGGCACGGAGACTCAAGGCAGCCACGAGCCTGCTGTCCAAACCTCTGCAGCAGACCGCGAGCAACGCTGGTTCAAGACACGGGCACGAAGAGTGAAAAACTTCCTACCGAACAATCGCCCAGTAACAAGAAGGCAGACAGCCGCCGCCGCCATTTTAGGGACGCCCGCCATCCTGCAGAACCGGTCTCCGTGCCAGGAGACAGGAATTCAAGCCAGCAGCAGTAATGAGGTGGGCTACCCAGAAAAGACAGAATGTGAGCTGTCTCCCTCCCCTCAGACGAGCGACCCAGCCAGCGGTGGTTCTTCCCCCATCACTGAAACGTCGTCCCCCACCTCCTCCTCGTCGTAGTGACACAACACGCCGGCCTCCTCTCCCAACGCATCTGTAGAAGAGAGCAGCCCGGAACAGAAGGAGCAGGGCTCCACCTCCCCTTTGGTGACTGACGACACAGGGACACTTGAAAAGGCAGTCCTCTCTACCCCGCAAGCCGAGGGAGAAAAACAAGTTTTCCTCTCGGTCCCGAGTACACCTCTTTCAAGGCCGTCTTCTCATCCACGCCGGGATGTAAACAAATCCAGCGCATCTCGAGAAACCCAGCCGCGCCCCCTTGCTCGCAAGAGCTGTGGGCTGGGGCCGCCCGAGGAACCATTTCCTTCTCTGCCATCCACAGGTGCTCCAAACAGCACCAAACTCTGTGAACCACAGGTTCCTACCACCAACGCACGGCAGAAGAACCAGGGGGTACGAAAACCTGCGGTTTCAGCCCAAAAATGTGCCCCACCCTCTCAGCTACCTGCGAGCCCTCGGTCCACTTCCCAGCTGGAGACCGTCCTCTACAGGCCAACCGCCAGCAAAAATTCCCTTCGCTCTGCGACACAAGAAACGATCTGCGCACAATTAGTGACAGTTGAAGGAGCACACCGCGTGTGAATGAACTTCGGCCGCAATGTTATCGCTGTCGACGTTGCCGTGGAGGCACCGCTCGCGCCCCTCCTCGCAGTTTCCGACAACTGCGAGATTCCCGTGCGTGCTAGGCAGGCGTAAACCTACACCTGCAGTGGGTTATCCACAACGTCGACCCAGCGCTCACAGAGGAGGAACTACGCGACAACATCGCATCGCAGCTCCCTGTACTGCAATGCACGCGATCCGGACGCAATGTCGTGATCATGTTCTCCGGACGGAAACCTCCGCAGGACATCGAGCTTTACAAACAACGACGCCCGGTCCGTGCTCGCCGCCCTCGTCCTGTGCAGTGCGAACAATGCGGTCGGTACGGCCACACAGACATCACCTGCACCACACGTGAACGTTGTGTGCGCTGTGGCGGGCCACATCTGCGTGCCGATTGCACCGTGCAGCACCCCCGTTGCATATTCTGTGGCGCAACCCATCTGGCCACAGAACCCCGCTGTCCTCGCTGGAAACAAGAGAGTGAGCTACTAGAGGTCCGTGCGCAATCGGCCCGCCCCATGACACGTCGCGAGGCCTTTGTAGTTGTTCGCAAGAACGACCCCATGGCACAAAATTCGGCCACTCGAGAGGGGTTTTCATATGCGGCGGCCGCTGGTGGCTCTACTGCCCATGCATCAACGAACACCACCACCGCTCCAGAGAATGCCTCGGCGATCTCGGTGCTCACGGCTGCAGTTCGTGCCGCGTTGGACTTCCTCCCTCTCGACTGTGCGGTTCGCCCGCTCTGCATAGCAGCGCTGGCTACGCAACAAGCTCTGACACAGCATGGTGAGTAACAACTGTGCATGGCGGCCGCGCATCCTTCAGTGGAACTGTCGTTCTTTGCGCCGCCGTCACAGTGAGCTCGCTGAGTACTTACGGCTCAACGAGTACGACGTCGTCGCACTACAGGAGGCTTATGTACGCGGAAGTGAATGTAGACTTACTGGTTACTCAAGCTACCATTGTACAACGAGGTGTCAAGTGCGCAATTGCGACTTAGATGTGGGCTGCGACGCCACACATCCTCCCGCCCGCTCTTACGCCTCCATCTACGTGCGCAATGAACTCGCACGTTGCACTGTTGATGTTTCTGACACCTTGTGCAGTCAGGTTGAATGTTTGGCGCTTAAAGTGCGCATCGGGCAGTGCGACACGGCAGTGGCGTGTGTTTATATACATCCTGTCCACAGGTGGGACACGGCATTCGTGACCCGTTTGGTGCGACGCCTACAAGGTGACTGTGTGATTTGTGGAGACTTCAACTCGCACCATACGGCTTGGGGGAGTGACCACATAGACTGTAGAGGCAGAGACCTGTTGGATACCATTGCTGGGACAGGCTTCTTATTATAAATACGGGCTGTCTGACTTTCGTCCGTTGCGGCGTAAAGAGCAGTGCCATAGACCTATCACTTGTGAGTGACCATTGCCGGTACGAATGGAAGAGGGAGGCAGGCACGTGGGGCTCAGATCATTACCTCCTCCACCTAGAGCCACTTGATCGGCGCCGAGCGGGCACGCGCACATACACTGTCACTGACTGGCCACGTTTTCGGCAACTCTCGCCTGCCTGCCCACCTTCCGGTGTCACCTACTTCTCGCACGTCGCCCGCTGCGTCGAAGCGGCCTCGCGCAAGTGCACTGTGCCAGTGGGAACACCAGTTCTGGAGATAAAACTTCTTAACCTACGCGCGGCTCGCTGGAGGCTCCAGCGCCGTGCGACTAAAAGCGACTGCAAAGAGCACTGGACACTTTATAATCGCCTTGACGTCGTGTGTCGCCGACACGCACGGGAAAGGCACGACCGCTCCTGGGGCAGTCTATGCGTCACGCTGGACGACCCACGACGCTCCGCGCGTGCGTGAAGGATATTCAGTGCCGTCCTCTGCCCCGTTAAGTTACGTTTTCTAGACCTCACCATTGCTGTTGCACATTGTCTCACCAGCAAATGGCCGAGCTACTGGCTGACAC